GAGACTCTTGTGGCTGCCCGATCCYTACCGGAAGCACAATCCATACTGTCCCGGAAGCATTGTTTTTAGCATGTAGCAGTTCGCTAAACTGATGACAGAATTCATTCAATTTCAGTCTTTCGTCACATGCAATGTTTCATAGAAAAGGCTACATTTGCAACAGCTGTGGATTTTTATTCCAGGAAAAAAATAAAACGAAGATAAGATAAGTTATAACATGATTGTGTAGAAAATAGTTAGCAAGTTATTATAAATAAATACGTAAATCTTTATTTTATTAATCAAAAAATGTATGCAATATTAAAACTGTTTCCAGAATACAATGTAACACACCTTTATAATTAAGTATAGAAATAAATATTTTCAGTTTTTTTCCCCTAAATCAAGCATATTCCAGAAGTCTATCATTTAGCGCATGTGCAAATCAACTATTTCTTTCAGTGCATGCACAAATGAGCTGTTTCTTGTAGTGCATGCGCAAATGAATTGACTGTACGGATCGTGCTACAGAGACGGATCAGGCAGCCACAACTCTCTATTCTTTTGCATTGAGGACCTACTGCACATGCTCAGGAGTTAACATTAGACTTCAATGGTAAAGATTTCTGTGCCCTGGCTTGAACCGGAAGTAACTCAACACAACATCGTTTATGAGTAAAAATGAAAGTTTATCCATTAATAACTGTATAAAACGTATCTTACACATCTAAAACATATATAGATATTTCTACTAAATATTGTATTTTGGTATTTCGTTTTTATATTTTTTCTGTCCCAAAAAATTGTGGTGGGGCGGTGCCTTAGTGCCCTCTATTCACCAGCCGCCACTGGTTTTGAGACTCCCATGCTGCGACTCTTTGGAGAAGATGCAAAGAGGAGAAAAACTTACAATGTCCCCCCCTTAAATACCCTTTCTCATAATTGGAGTCACCTGTGTATGGAGGTCAAGGGTCACTGAACTTACTCACTGAAGATTTATAAAGATAAATCAGGAAAATTAACAAGGCTGCCCAAACTTTCGCACCCCACTGTACATAAATATTTTAATATAATTTGTTTCAGTGGCTCTTATTCACTGTCATTTTTCTGTACTATAAACAGTTTTGGCTGCTTTAAAAAACATTAATGAAGACTTGTTGAAACAGAATTTTGATTTGTATTGGCTTCTTATTTGTCAGTGGCAGTTGATTGCAAAAAAAGCTTGTGCAACTAAATGTTCAAACAATTATAGCACTGAATGTTTAGCTCTAATACGTAGGAAATAATATTTTGGCTTCTTACAAGCACTGTACTTAGGCCATTGTTGGAAAAATAACTCCATAAGGTCATTAAGCATAATACTTCTTTCACGTACTGTCAAGTTTCACGCAAATTATTCAAATGACCACTTTTATTATCCAGACTTGTCCTTATGTTGATAAAGTCCAGCTCTTGCAGGTAACAGGGGCCAGGCAAGTCAAATAACACCCCCCAAATACCAAATGATGCATTTTGCAGCTGGATTTACTTCTGCATTTAACATCTGCTGTTGATGGCCCTTTTTATCACACTGGACCACGTCAAAAAATCAAGAAATTTAATCTCACTTTATAGTGGGAGCATAATTTTTCATAATCTGCTTCCTTTTTACTAAACTACTCAATATTTTATTGTAGTCAGTTTTACATAATGTATAAAGAAACCTTGAGAAACAGCCAGTACTCAGTTTTGCAATGTGCCTGCATGGTTTCTGCTGTGGATTGTCTCTCCAAACCATGGGGCTGTACAAACTGTAGTACGTTAGAGGGATGAAAGGATGAAAAGATTGATGGACAGAACAGATAGCGTTGAGCTTGCATGAAAGAAGTAGCACAGTAGAGGCCCATACCATCCATGTTAAAATATGTTTTCATGTCATCACTCAGAACAGAGGAATGGCCTGTCTGATGCCATCTGTCTTACCAGCTAATCTGATAGAGATGTTACCTCTGTTTTTTCCATCTTCCTATCACCTTCTGCCCTTGTGAAACTTGTGAGGAGCATGCTTCTATCTAAAAATATGTGATAAGAAATTGGTCCTGTGATCACATTTAGTATGATAAATTTATAAGTGAAGTAGGTTGACTCCAGGCACAGTTTCAAGAGTTGGCAGAGTTGCTCTGTGGAAACAGTGAATGTGGCTTGAACTTATATAGCGCCTTATCAAATCCACTTGGACCCCAAGGCGCTTTACACTTCAGGCATTTACCAATTCACACACATCTACACTCTGATGGTGGTAAGCTACATTATAGCCACAGCTGCCCTGGGGCTCGAGAGAAGGGGGTCTCTGCAGAACATGTTGTCCTGTGGGCAGAGACGGCCCTACTCGTGATTGGCGGAGGTTTTGATGTGGGTGGAGACGGCCCAAGAGACATGATTGGTCGGATTGACGGTGGGGTAAGAAGCTGGAGGCAGCGGGGAGTAGCTTTGTCAAGTCAGGCAGGAAGCAACTCTTTTTTTTAAAGATTAATTTTAGTCATAACTTGGGAAAGGAAACTGCTAGCTGCACGAAATTTGAACGTCGTTCGTGTGGAGGAATGTGTAACAATATGGCTTGGTCAAAACATCCCTAACCAGCCTGTAAAAAATGTTGATTTTTTTTAGCAATTTTTTATACAAGCTGTTACAACCTTTTTGTACAAGCTTGGTGGACGTGGTCTGCCAAGACCATGAAATTCTGTGCCATTTTTTTTATTTGTCAGGCAGCTGTGTGTGATTGGTTATTGGGTATTCATGTGAAGTTATATGGGTTATCTGTAATTTACACAGGTTTTCCCTCCTTATGCAGGTATAAGACACACTGTATAGAGCAATCTCACTGATTTTTTTCAAGTTTTACGAATGTTTAAAAAAACTGTTTCCAATTTATTTTACTTCTAAGGGCCTATAAGGCATAAAAAAACAGGTTATAAAGACAAACGTCCAAAGGGTTTGACGTGTTAGGCTGCACTCCTGGGGCACTCTGACCAGTGATGCTTCACAGAAACAGTACCAGTCTGTCTGTGGAAATTCATTGGTGAATGAATGTCAGTAAGTGGTAAATTTATTTTACATTGGAGGACAGACAAAACGTTTCATTAGAGAAGAACCCGTCCAGAAGACCTATACAATTTTTTTCTTTTTTAAATTTATTTTATATCATTCATATTTCATGTAGATACACACTAGTGGGTAAAACCAACATTTATAACTAGATTTATAAAACATATTTTACATTTTCCTCCCTCTTATCGGAGGGCGGCACCCCAGCGCCCTCTATGGGCTGGCCACCACTGGACTATTCACTTCTCAGGGTTTGCCACAGCAAGTTATCCTACTCATTTCAATTCAAATTCAAAAAAACTTTATTGATCCTAGAGGGAAATRAGATGTTGTTGTAACTCATTTAATTAAAGAGTTATTGTAGATGGTGATGGCTGTGGGCTGGAAAGATCTTCTGTAGTGGTCTGTATTACAATGAAATTGAAGAAGCCTCTGACTGAAGACACTCTGTTTTTCTATGACAGTCTGATGAAGAGGATGGTCAGAGTTGTCCACAATGTTCTAGATTTTATGAAAACTCATTTTTTGTACAGTCATCTCCAGAGATTCCACAGTTGTCCCCAGAACAGAACCAGCCTTCTTCGTCAGGTTGTTTAGCCTTTTTAGGTCCCTGGCTCTGATGCTGCTGCCTCAACATATGACGGCAGAAGAGATGACGCTCTCAATAACAGATTTATAGAAGATCTGCAGATCTGCATCTACTCCATCTTACTCTGTCCTCTGCATCCTCTCTATCCTCTGTCCTCACTCCAACTACCTCCATATACACTTAACTGCATCTATATCTTCCCTTTGGCCTTCCTTTAGTCTTTTCCCAGGCAGCTGGATTTCTAATATTCTTCAACTAATATACCCACTGTTCCTCCTCTGCACATGTCCACACCATCTCATTCTGGCCCCTCTAGCTTTGTCTCCCATACATCCTGTGCTGTACCTCTGATGATCACGTTCCTAATCTTATCCATCTTTGTCAAACCCAAGGACAACCTCAGCTCTGCCATCTGCAGTTATTTCTCCTGTTTTTTTTGTTTGTGCTACTGTCTTTAAACTCTACGGCATGGCTACTGTCGCTGCTCTCTTGTAAATCTTTATTTCTAAACAACCAGGACAGCTATGGAAATGATAGGGATGTTAGCATCATAATAATTGTATTGATTTGGCCTGAACATTTTAAACTATAGCCTTTAATCTTTTCTATAAAACCCTGGAAGAAAGCAGAAGAAAATAAAAACTACAGTTTTATTTAAATCAGCTTGTGAAATGTACCATTTTATCATAAAGCAGATAATCTGCTTTTCATTGTATTTCATATAAGTAGCATCTGCTTCAATAAGTTGCACTGTCAAGAATATGTTCCTGACAAAAGTGTTTTACTCACTGCAACTGAATGATTACATACGCATACCAGTTAGGAGATTGATGTCACCTGCCTGCTAAACCATAAAACTATAAGATGCATGTTTAGGTAAAGTCATAGCAATTCTTGTAGGAATGCATATCTCTCGCTGCCTTTAATTCCAGGGTTTTTGTCCAAGATCATCTTATGATGAAAAGGAACAGAGTTATTGCAAAAATATCTGAAAATGTGTTACAAACCTAAGTAATAATTATTCTACATCACTCTGGTTTTGTGTTTCACTGTTTCAGCTTGCCTGTGTTGCAGGTACACCACCTTCACAGGTTGGACCATCATAGCTTGATTTTATTACGTGGTCCAACACTGTATTTACAGCGTCTGACAAATCCTATAATCTGCATACATATGTTGGTTTGTTTTTATGTGGTGTCAAAAGGTAATGACATGATCACAAAAGCTATTTGATCTTTCTTATGTTTACCAGTGGAAGGAAGCCAGCAGAACATAAACCCACCTGGAAGTTCAGATGTAGCAGAGCAAAGCACACACACCTGATAATTAATGTTTTTTTATCTTTCAGAAGAAGGATTTTCTGCTCAACACGAAAGTCTACAGGAGGAGAAAGAATCCTTAACAACGTTGCAAAAGGAATGCACTGCCAAGAGGTATGTGGGAGGTTGTAATCAACTGAAAAACATACTGCATTCATTAGTCCCTGTCAGATCCGTGAGGTCTCTGAGTTTTGTGTACGTTTCTCAATCTAAATAAAATTACGGTGCCCAGAGCAGCTCACCTTGGTCTTTCAAAACAAGATAGTGTTTGTCCTGCTGACCCTAACTATTTATGTAAAGCCCATTGGCCTGTTTTTGTCTTGCCTTGTGGAGAGATGTTTGCACCGTGTGCACATCCTGTGAATACAGATTTGTTTATTTGAAAAGTACCTGGCAGTTCTAGAGGGTGAATCAGAGCTTTAGAAAGGCCAGTGGGGGCCAAGAGACCCAGAAAACAGGAAATTAATACTTGTACTTCTGCTGAACATCTATTTCTTGGACACAAGTGGTAATCATGTTCTTTATTGAAGTTTTTATCTTCAGCGTTTGGCCAAGGAATTGTTATGTTAAGAATCCAGACTTCCTCTTTAAGCTTGTTTAAATTTTATTTGTCATTTAGCTGCATCTGATAACAAGCTAATGTCCTAAAACCAGACTTAAAATACATCCTTCAGGGTTTATTTTGGTATTTAGTGTTATCTTTGGCTTTAGCAGCTAAACTACATCAACAATAAATATTGTGGTTAAAGTGTTGAATATTTTACTGGAGTTTTCCTTGCTTGTTTTAAATCAGCTATCTTAAAGAAGCCTGGGCTGGATGTTCACTCTGTTGCTAATTATAGACCCATCTCCCAGCTATCATTTGTGTGCAAGGTCTTTGAAAAGGTTGTCTCCCAGCAGCTAATTAATTATCTGTCTGCTAATAATCTGTTTGATTCATTTCAGTCTGCTTTTAGATCTAAGCACTCAACTGAAACTACTTTAACTAAAGTGGTCAATGATCCACTGATAAATGCTGACAATGATTGTCCCTCAGCACTATTATTGTTAGACCTAAGTGCTGCATTTGACACTGTGGATCACTGTATTTAATTGGATAGACTTGAACACTTTACTGGAATCACTGGAAATGTACTTTCATGGCTGAAATCGTACCTGTCTGGGAGATCTCTGACTTTTATTTTTAATAATGAGCTGTCTGAAACTGGCACTGTGAAGCACGGGGTCCCTCAAGTGTCTGTGCTCAGCCCCCTGCTCTTCTCACTTTATCTTTTGCCTCTTGGTCTTCTCCTGGATTCATTTAAAGTAACTTTTCACTGTATGCTGATGATCTACAGTTGTAAATGCCCTTCTCTGTTGGAAACTGTCAGCTTGACTAGACTAAGCTGGAGGCCTGTTTATCTGCATTTAGGGGTTGGCTATCTAACAGTTTCCTGCTTCTCAATGTCAACAAGACTTATTTAATGGTTATTGGACCTCAGAAGTTCCATGGCTTGTCCCAGATCTTTATACTGAAAATTGATAATTAGGTCATCAATAGTCGGGAAAAAGTCTGAAACGGTTTGATCTTGTGCTTTCTTTTGAATTTCACTTAAAGGAAGTTACAAGATCTGCCTTTTATCATCTTAGGAACATTGCCAAAATCTGGCACATTCTTCCATTTGATGATGCTGAGGTCCTTATCCATGCATTTATGACTTCACGTACCGACTATTGTAACTCTCTTCTTTCTGGGTTACCTAGGAAAGGTTTTAGAAGTCTGCAGATGGTCCAAAATGCGTCTGCTCACATTTTAAACAATACTAGGAAATATGACCACACTACCCCGGTGTTGCCATCTCGTCACTGGTTGCCTTGTCAGGTTCAAGCTGATTTTAAGATCTTGCTGCTCACCTACAAGGCTTTAATTGGTCTGGCACCCCATATCTCACTGACCTCCTGCACCCCTATGTTCCATCTTGTTCTCTCAGATCTGAAGGTACTGGCCTTTTATTAATTCCAAAAGCCAGAACAAAAGCTATTGATGAACGTGCCTTCTCCTTTCGTGCCCCTTCTCTGTGGAACAATCTCCCTCAGTACATTCGGCAGGCCTGTTCTGTGGAGATTTTTAAAGCAAAGTTAAAGACTGACTTGTTCACTGTATCTTATGTGTTTTAATGTTGTTTTTTATTGCATTTGATCTGTTGTTGTGCTTTTATCTCTTGCTACTTTTCAGCACTTTGTCTGAAAGCGTTTTATAAATAAAAGTTATTGTTGTCGTTGTGGTTATTTTGATTAAAATGATTTTTTTACCATTTTGAAAAGGGGTTCAGTTTAAAGGGGGTATTATCTATTTTCCAGGCACAGTTCAGTTCTTTACCACAATCAAATAACTATGTTATCTTCAGTTGTTATGAAAATGCTGTAAATATTAAAAAAAWTAGACTTTGCCTCTGCCTTTCAGTTTGTTGCTTTTTGGTGTCAGCAGTTTTTCTTGTTTGGTCTCCTCAGAGAGCAGTTCCTTAAGTCTAATGCCCAGCTCACCTTCCGCTGTCGTCAGCTCCTCTCTGAACTTTCCTACATCTACCCCATCGACATGGTAAGTGGAGTTTGTCATGTCTAACTGTTGCTGTTTACCAGTTCAAATCATTTGAATCAGTTGATGCACTACCACCAATTAATCAAAAATCAAAACAAAAGACTCATTCAGGCTCTTTCTGGTCAATAAAAGATTACATCCTTGCTTTATACTACGTTAAATAATGTGAGTACACAAAGTTTGAGTAATTCATTGCATTTTACTTATGGTTACATAATTTGTATTAAATACAGTTATTATGGAAATTTTTATGTACCTTGTGCTTCAATTAGATTATTATTCAGACAGACGCAGTGTTATAGTACAATTACTGATAAGTTTTGATCCTGACAGAGGAAATGATTATGGCTTATTTTACATAAATTAACTATGGTATATATTTTGGGGGGGGCGCTCGGCTCACCCACCTTCTCCTTGATGGCCTCCATCACAGCTGGTGCCCATTTTGGTTGCTGCTTGGACAGCCATCAATGATCTTCAGGCAACAGCTCCTGGAAGCTGCAATATTCAYCATGGTCTGTTCAGACTCCATGTCCCTGACAACCTTTGGGACATGTGGAAAAACTTCACAGACAGGGGACTCTGCCAGATGTTCTTGGTCAGAGACTTGTACCTCCACACACCCATCCAATTCCTCTCTACCTGAGCAACCCAGAGTACGAAAGAGTCTACCTTTTCTCCAGGAGTTAGAGCCTAAGCCGTGTGTAGAAGTGAACCCTACTAGATCTATCTGGTATTGTTCAAAATCGTATGTCCCTAGAGCTAGTTTATGCTTCCAGGAATCTTTATTTGATCCAATYAAACCAACTTTAAAGGTCCTCCTTAAAGGTGGTGAGTCTACACGGAGTTGGCATCCTGCCTTTCTTTCTGGCTTGGCGCGACTAAGGCTCAACCACCAGGCTCTTGCCAGAAAGCACTCTGCTCAGACCTGGCTCCAGAAAGTTCCCTGTTTTCCCTTTTCTGGACTAGGTTTCCTGCTGCATGTGTTGCTTATTTATTGAAGTTTTCAAATCACTCTTAGTCTGACCCCTCCACTTTGGCCAATTTGTCATGGGAGACCCTCCCTAGGGCTGATGCCTCAGACAACAAAACCCCAAGGATCACGTGGGTATTGACACCCCTCCCTCACATTTTGTGAAACGTCTGATTCCCAATCATTTAATTTCAGTGGCCACATTTCAGTGTTTTTAAGAAATCATCCAAAATCTTCAAATTTCTGGTTCATTTATCACAGACACATTATTATCCCTCACTTTTCTAAGATATTTGGCAAAAGACTAAATTCTTGGAATTCCAACATTACAAGGCAATAAGTAAAAGATTTAAAGCAGCAAATCTCTGCCAGCTGCAAAACGTTTCATTCCTCACAAGGCTTTATGTTGTCAGTGTGGCTGTTCATTGTCTTTAATATGAAACTTCTCATTTTTAAATCTACAGGTCAATCAGTCAGATTATGTCATCTGTGGAGTGAAGCTGCCAAACTCGGAAGAATTTCAAGGTATTTTATAATGTGTGCATGTGTAGACTTACAGGAAACAAGCTGTGGAAAAGAAGCTGAGCATTTTTTTTTATTATAGTGAAAAAAGATCTTAGAAAAAGAAGTTTGGAGACAGAACTTGAGTTTGCATTATACAATTTTAGGACTGTTAGTGTTTTTAAAATTAATCCAAATCACCAGTTATTTGTTACCAGTATCTGTTTAGTACATATACATGATATACTTTAGTTAATAAGTGTAATTTGATTCATTACTCCTGCAACTTTAGAAAAAAATTTAAATAAAACTAAATCAAACCATGTGGCTCAATCAGGACTGTTGTACAATGACTTTGTACTATGACTATGCTGAACATTGTATAGCACAAACAAAATTGGCTAAAAACTGTGAACAGTGTCCACAAAAACAGTTATAAGAACTTTGAGAAACTTGTTAGAAAACCCACTTCTCTGAAATTCTAGTAGAAATATTCAGAGTTTAAACTGGTCACCAAAGTTTAACTTTTTCACAGCTAAGCTGACATCTTGATATCTTTAACAGTTTTATGCAATCACAACTTAGGTTTGTGATTAAATTCTTGTCTTTTTTTGTAATTTTTCAATAAAATGTTCTACTTAGAGTTTGATTATGTCACACAAGGCTTTGATATGGTCCAGTTTTCTAAATCTTTTGCAGACAAATTCTCTTGATTTCCACAAACTTCCCATTTTATTATACTGTTGATACATTAAATTGATGTGGCCCTAATCTAGTTTATCTTTCACCTCCATATTACTTAAAATTTTCTTTCAAATCCCCCTAGAATGCAGACTGAGCACATTAAAATTTTTATTGACTTACATATTTTTGAGTTTAGAAAGATTTCTTTAAAAATGAAGTGACAGTAGCTACAGTATAATATCTCTTTTGATCATGCTTCTTTTCACACTTGTATGCAGTTTATGCATCACAACTAGAAGATTACAAAAGTAAAGCCCAAATTATTGTTGAAAAAGTATTTGTTGATGTTTTATGCAGTGACTAAAGGCAGTCACCATCCATTTTTTATCTATAATATTTGGTCAATTTATTGGACTCGCAGCCCTTGACATCCACACCTGACAGTGGCCAAGGTGGTAATGTGTTTTCAGTAACATAATAACAGAAAAAAACAGAAATAGTGAATGTATGTGCTGCATGTGACATTGTCATCACAGTTTTTGTAACGTTTTTATTGCAGTCACATGTTTTTCTAATATCTGATGATTTGTTGTGAAAAAAAATTCTTCCATCCCTGTTTTTGTCAGATGAAAACCAGCACCACTATGCAAAACTCTGCCAGTAATAATTTGCTGTAGCAATTAACTAATAACTCAAATCTCTGGTTTAGATTAAAGAAAAGGGATGGAAAACATTAATCCAAGCACTTTTTAAAAAAATAGAAAACATTACTTTCAGCTTGTTTTGGAATGATTTTCTGTCTGCTTCACCTATATTAGTGAGACATAAGCCGTGTTTCCATCAATGTTTTTTATGCACATTTTGAAGTATCTCATTAGAAAAGGTGGATGGAAATGGCACAATTTGCAAAAAACGTCCTTAATTTCACAAAGTTTTTACTCTTGCCTCAGGTGGTTTTGGGATTTTCTGAAAAGGGGAAATGGGAAACACATTTGCTGAATAGGTTCTGACGCAGCAAACATTTACCTCACATGGTTGATCAGATGTTCCGGCTGGCTGTCTGGTATCGGTACCAGTAGCGGTGGGCCAGTACTGGTGGACACTCCTCCTGCTGTTGGCGTCTTCCTGGATATTCCCGCAATGGGAAGAGAGTTACATTTGTTTTTCTACGTCTCCAGACAGCAGTAACATCACCAGAACTAGTTGATATAACAGAATTATCACACCTTTCCTGATAGTAGCAACACCTTCCTGATAACTTCTCTCCATTGTCCTGAGATGTMTGGTCCCTGCTGGTTTTTGACTTTAATTTCTGTTCACTACAGCCATGCYTAATGTCAACATCTGACACAATTATACTTTGCGTAACCTGGTTGATGCGATTCAAGCCAGTAAATGAAACATGTCTGATTCACATTTTCTCTGTTTTCCCTTTTTTAACATTAAAAATTTCCTCAAAATTCAAATGAAAATTGGATGGAAACACGGCTGTAGACGCAAAGTCTAGGGCGGCTTGTCGCCCCCCCCCCCACACACACACACGCTACTGAACTTCTCTGGTATTTTCATGTACCCTAGGGTCCACTCTTTCAGAAAATGCTTGTTAACAGAAAAAAAAGTTGGGTCTCACTGCCCCCCAGGGACCCCCTTGTGGCCACACCCCATTTTTATTGTGACCATCAAAATTAGGGGGACAGAAAACCTAAAGGCCAATAACTTTGCTATAAACCAACCATATTTAACAAACAAGGTATCAGCAGATTCGAATAGATTAGTTCTTCGATTTACATGACATTTAATTAAGAAAATATGCACTCGATGATGTCATCAGGGGGTAAAAAGGTCACAACTCTTAACAGAAGATGAAAATTTTCATCTTTTTTACTCTGTTTATTAGGGTGGGTGTCCAGGTACACCCCATGACTGAACTTCTAAGGTGTTTTCATGTACCCTAGGGTCCCCTCTTTAAAAAAAAAGCATGCAATACGGTGAGCTACCCGAGCCCATGGACTATTAGAGAACAGGCTGCACCTTATGAGTATTTATAAATAAGGTTTACAGTTACAGCAAGAAAACTTCTAGAACCTTTCTAACTCAAATTAAGAGGAGACGTTATTGAATGGGTGACACAGTTTGTGGATAGGATTAATCTGCCTCACGTAGATAAGTGGAAACAAACAAGGTCATGTCTTCTCAACATTTTTAGCTTCCTCTTTGTTCCATCTAGTGAGTGATATTAGGACCCAAGAGTTCATATTTCAACAAGAGCACAACCAATCTTCTTATCTGATGCTGTCACACTCCACCTGTTAACATTTTTACCAGCATGTAGCAGACGTTTTTTTTTTTTTTTTTTGCAATTGCCTTCAATTATGCATAGGTTAGTACCACACAGGACAAGAATGAGCAGTTTCAGAATCATTAACTTTAATTTTTGCATCTCCATTAGCTTTCATGATGCCCTAAATTATTCAAACCATATAACATTACTCTATCATTTTGATTACAAGGGGTTTCAAACGTGTGATATATTTTACCTTTTAACTAAGTGAAACTACACTAAACATATCTAAATTACACCAAACTAAACTAGGCTAAATTGTGCCATACTATGCTAAACTAAACTACACTACAAGCTATTCTAAACCATGTTAAACTAAGCTAAATTGCTTTACACTACATTGAACTACACTACATTAAATTAAATGAGCATCCCTCCAGTTGTGGGAATTGCATGTTTGCCCTAAAGTTGCAGCAGACAGAAAGAATGAAAAATATATTAAAACATGTTTTTGTTTACTCTCTTTGTTTATTGATTTAAAATAACATCTCAGTAGTTGTCCTTTCTTRGACCTAATCATCTTGAGGCAAAACAGAAAACCAAAAGAAAAATGAACCAAATCAGGAGTGTTGTGTTTGAAAAGATGAAAAACACACAGTATAATATGAGCCAAGGAGCCTGACATTTTATCACCACAGTCTATTATTTTAATGCATTAAGATTGTAACCACAGGGACTTGAAGTCTTTGCCTCCAGCTGTGTTCTGCTGCTATTTACAAATGTAAAACTTAGCTAACATCTGTTTAAAAACTTCTTCTCATACCTAAAGTAAGTTAGTTTGTAGATTTTTTTTCTGCTCTATAAATGTTCACACAATGTGTAGGCTGTTATACTGTATGTGCTGTTTTTGAAGAAAGAAATTATAAATCCCAGTGCAGACTGTGTAAGCTATTGTGGTTTTGTGCTGTAGTCCTTAACACTTGGATACTTGCTTACAAAGCTGCCTTTTGTTAGAAGAGTATTTTTTTTTGTTTAGATTCAGAAAATGTGGATATTGTGTCAGTGTAGTTTATTTTTCCATGTAATAAAAGTCCAAACAAAGCAGTCACTGGTGGATGCTGCTGTGCTTCATGGCTTTGAAGTTTTGGACAGAATAAAATACCCACTCCTGAGTGAATAATCTGCTGCCGGTTTGAGTTTGATTTAGTTTAGATTACAAGGTCAGAGGCTTTGATGTGTTAATGTTGATTTTGTTAGAACTCACTGATAAATTAATAAGTAAAACATTTCATGTCTGCTGAATAAAATCCTGTCTGTACCTCAGCAAAAGACGACGGGAGTGTGGCGGTTGCCCTGGGTTACACGGCACACCTGGTCCTGATGATCTCGTGTTTCCTTCAGATCCCTCTTCGGTATCCGGTGATCCACAAAGGTTCACGTTCTTCCATCAAGGACACAATCACTGACAGACTCACTGAGAAGGAGAGAGAGTAAGTAAGACATGAAACCACCAAATACCAGAGACTTCAATATTTACAAGGATACAAAAACACAGATGCACTCTTTTTTTAATTTGTAGTCTGAAATACTGGCATTTGAAACAACAATTCAAACTCAAATTCTGATTCATGAGAAGAAAAATGTTTTGTCTTTAAAATGTTTTAAGTAAAATGGCCCAAAAAAAGAATGTTAGTCTGGATTGTGTGCATTAATTTAAGCTTTTAGAATGGCATTATTTTTACTTGGATAAACTATTATTTCAGCAGCACTCTTCTTGTGATAAATCGAAGTGTGGTCCTTAAAGTGCAAGTTTAGCGGTTTAAGTCCCAGCAATGTTTTGATTCTTATTAAAGAAAGGTTTGTGGGTAGTTTTGTTGTTTTGTGTTGCATCATTTATTTGAAAACAGTCTGGACTTTGTCTCTTGTTGTGCAGTTTTCTCTTCTCAAGAGATTCAGCTGTCATTTCCTACATTTCTAAAATCTGGTCTGAAAGCTGCCACAAAATGAGACCTTTCTCACCTACAGACACTGTTAAATATGTTTGTACTATTCTACAACAAATGTGCGTGGACAAAAAGCTCCAGTTTTGTTTCATTCATTTCCAAAACTTCTAGAAGAAACTTTGGAGTTTATCAGTATGCATTCAGATCAACTTTAGCATGTTTGTATTTTTCTGTCAACAGGGGAGCCTTTCTATATCTTCTTTCATGGAGTTCATAATGGTTCAAAAAAATGCAAGTAGGGGTTTCTGCAGTACATGTTGTGTTGTTGGCGGAGACGACCCTACTCGGTAGGCAAAGACAGCCCTACCCATGACTGGTGATGGTTCTGATGTGGGCGGAGTTGACCCTAATCATAATTGGCAAAGTTGGTGTGTGGATGGAGTTTTCCTTAACCGTGATTGGTTGGATTGACATGTCCTTATGGGGCAACTTAAAAGAAGAAGTAATAATAGTAAAAAAAAATATATGATTTATTGACTGTCTATGTACAATTTACAGAACACTGACTCAAATAAAAATTATTATGAAAATGTAAGCCTAATTTGACTTAAAAATTCATGCAGCAAGTTTCTTCCCATCTCAAATTATGGCTAATATTCATAGTCTTATTGATTTTTAGCTATCTTTTTGCAGGCGGTGTTTTGACTGAGCCAAATTGTTGCTTGTCCCTCCATTTGTACAGCGTTCAAATTTCGTGCAGCTAGCACTCTCATTTCTGAAGTTATAACTAATATTCATATTCATATTTAGTCATATTGGTTTGTATCTTGTTTTAATGGACTTGTTGGGGATGTTTTGACTGACACAGCCCTCCATATGTATGGCYTTCAAATTTCGTGCAGCTAGCACCTTCTTTTCTCAAGTTATGACTAAAAGTAATCTTAATAAAACATTGCTTCCTGCCCGACTGGACCAAACTACTTCATGAGTAGGGCTGTCTCCACCCACATCAAGACCTTCACCAATCATAAGTAGGACCGTCTCGGCCCACAAGATAACATGTACTGCAGAGACCCCCTTCTCAAAAAATGACAGTGTGAACAAAACAAGCCTTGACKTTGGGAGTTTAGCTTGAATGGTCTTAGATGGTTTGCTTGGTGCTTTTCTCTGCCGTTCTCACTATCCATATGATAAAACTAGGGATGATTTTTCTCTTGTGTCAACATCCTGGGAGAGTTGCTACAGTCTCACATTCCTTGTACTTTTTATTTATGTTGTCAGTTGTGGTGACAGAAACATAAAGCTGTTTGAAGATGCTTTTGAAACCTTTATCTTTAATGTGGATATCTAGTCGTTTTTCTGAGCTCATCAGACAGCCTTTGTCCTTGCTTTCTATGCTCTATGTTCAGCGTGGTATAAATTGGTTATTCTTCATTTTCCTATTTTCCTTACATCAGCAGGGCATCTTTATATGGCATGTTGTTCATTCGGTGGACTTGCTTTCAGATTCTCATAATGACAACAAACGATCTAAATGCATAAAATCAACACATGCAGCTTCTACGAATGACCTCTTGATTTATTCAATTGTGCATTAAATGTATCACATTGAAGTAGATCTTGTATAATCGTGACTATTTGTTTAGACACGATTATGGTGAATGAGGAAGCTGATTATTTGTTTCTCTAGAAGCARACAAAACCACTTTTTTGTGGCGCTGGGATATAAACCATACTATCATGAGTGATTTGGTGCATTTATGCAAACGTAAAGAGCTCCAGCTCCAGCCTGTTTTCAATGATTTTGGTCGGCAGCTGTTCAAAGGTCAGATGAGGACATTTTCACTTTGGCAATAAAACTAAGTCAGTATGAAATCCAGCAAAAGGGATGTTAACACTTAAAAGAAATTCAACCTCCTAGGTCAGTGGTTCTCAGTTATTTTCTTTCATTCACCCKCTAAGGAACTAAATTTGTGGTGCTCCTGAATTGAAATACTATCGAGAACCTGATATTTAATTTTTTTATCTGTACAAATATGCATGACATTCTGGCACCAGAATTCTGCATATATTCACCTGATAATGATAGGGGAAACACTGCTTTACAGAATGTAAAACAACAAGTATTATATTTTATATTTTAAATTTGTTTATTTTGCTGCATTGAATTTAAAATTTAAAAATGATTTATAATCCATGATTGTATTAAATGAAACAAAAAATATATCATCAGTATCTTTAACATAAATTGGTAACTGATAAATGGTAAATGGCTTGTACTTGTATAGCGCTTTATCAAGTCCCATTGGACTCCAAACCGCTTTAAACTTCAATCCTTCACACATTCATACACTGATGGTAGCGACATACATTTTAGCCACATACATACATTGTAGGGGCTGCTTTGCACACTATGCAGTTTGTATAAATGAAAAATTTTCTTTGATAAAGTTTGAACTTGATGGTCTTTGGCTGACCCTGAATTGATGAGAACTGAATGGGCATGTGCTGATGTATCTCACCTGTTAGGGGCAAGTAAAGGCCCTCTGGTAACACTATAGATAATCAGGGTCCTAACGATCATCAGGCTGATGGTCATCTATGAACAATAAGGATAATCAGGGCACTAACGATCTATTGTTAGGCTGAGGGTCCTCTTTTTTGCATGTGAACAAACAGTTTAGATTGTCATTAATAACTTGTTTGTCCACTATGCCATTAATAACTTGTTTGTCCACCATGTGGAGGCAGTGCTTATAAAGCTGAGTTTACCTGAAACTCTTCAGACTGAAGAAGTGGCTAGGGGAGATGAAATGTTTCACCAAAAAAGAACTCATCTGAGGACCTACTCAGCTTTTTTGTAATCACTTATAGGCATGGAGACGGAGCTCAAAAGATGCTGTGGCACAAGGCTCTCTAACAGACTTTATAAATACTCRCCATCATGCTAAATTTATGTGGTACACAATGTCGACAGGATGTTGGAATCATGAGCCAAAGTAGACATGCATAAACGGGCTTGGACCCTGGTCATTTTCTAAAATTTTTACTTAAAGATATGTGAGGTATCCTGATTTCTGAGGCGCTCCTTCTTCCAGGCCAATGAGTTCTTAAAAATATTTATGTTTTGTTTTATTTTATTTTATTTTATTTTATTTTATTTTATTTTAAGAACTCAACTCACGCTCTCTTTATGCCTAATCATTGACCCCAGTATGTCCACTTGTGGCAGTAGTGTTTTGATGGTGGCATGATCTTCTATCATCATTGTCAGTAGATCATCCTGACCCTCTGGAGTTATGCCAGGGTGGGGGCTGGGTATGAGAAATTGTTAATAATGTAGAGACCATGGTGAGGGTCCAGGAGAGCATTATGAGGAAGCACATGATGGCAGGAAAATACTTGTAGGGGAGATCAAGAATGTATC